TCTGCCTTCTCATTGGTTCTAGGTTCTAAACCCAACCACATGACTTCCTTGTCACTGCCTGTCTATACAGACCTCCAGGTCTCTGTGGTTGGTAATGGGATTAAAGGCGTGTGTCTCCATGCTGGCTGTATCCTTGAACACACAGAGACTCTGCCTGCCATGTGATGGGATTAAGGGCGTGTGCTGCCACTGCCAGACCTCTGCTAAATGGCTCGCTATCATTAGCTCTGACCCCCAGGCAACTTTATTTATTAACATATAAGTAAAATCACATTTCAGCGCAAATAAAATATCACCATAAGTTAGCCCAAATTATAATGCACATACTTTCATTTTTATAGCATTAAATTTACTTTCCCCTGTTTCCAAGTCCAGTTGTACTAAGTATACTCAGACTCAAGCCAGTTCATCATTCACAACCGAAACTGTACCACTTACACACTAATTCCTTCACCTGGTTCTCAGCAGTCATCTTTCTACTTTCTAGTTCTATGATTTTAACAAGATTAGATACTTCTTAAGAATGGAATCATACAGTATGTGGCTGTTTGTGACTGGCTTGCTTCATAATGTCTCCAGGAACCATCTATCTGTATTATACCTTATGGCTGGCTTTATGGTGAGTGTTCTAGTTGGCTTTCTGTTTCTGTGATAAAGACCATGACCAAAAGCAGTTTGGGAGGAAAGGGCATATTTGGCTTACATATCCTGATCACATTCCATTCTTTTTGTTGTTGTTGTTGTTGTTCTTGATCCAGCTGGGATCTCCTGCTCCCCTAAGCTCTCTTTCCTCCAACACTTGCCCTTCATTACCCGCCCCCCTTACGTCCAGTTTGCTCATGTAGATCTCATCCATTTCTCCGTCATTGGGCGATCCCTGTGTCTTTCTTAGGGTCCTCTTTACTAGGAGGAAACAACCTAGATGCCCTTCAACTGAAGAATGGATAAATAAAATGTGGTACATATAAACAATGGAGTACTACTCAGCAGAGAAAAACAATGACATCATGAGGTCTGCAGGCAAATGGATGGATCTAGAAAAAATCATCCTGAGTGAGGTAACCCAGACTCAGAAAGACAAACATGGTATGTACTCACTCATAGGTGGATACTAGATGTAAAGTAAAGGATGAGTAGACTGCTGTTCACATTCCATTCTTAAGAGAAGCCAAGGCAGCAGCAACTCAAGCAGGGCAGAACCTTGGAGGCAGGTGCTGAAGCACAGACCTTGGGCGAGTATTGCAGACTCACGTTCAGCAATCTTTCTTATGTTCTCAGGACCACCAATCCAGGGTGATACCGCTCACAGCGGGCCCTTCCATATCAACTATTAATGAAGAAAATACCTCCACAGAGTTGCCCACAGCCGAATCTGATGGAGACATCTTCTCAGTTATGGGTTCTTCTTCCCAAATTACTCAATTTTGTGTCATGTTAATAAGAATAACCAAAAGATGATCAGTAACCTATTACATGTATATTCATCCACCATCCTTAGGAGAATGATTCAGAGGATACCAGCACCCCACATATCAAGATATATACATAAAATGTTTAATATAAAGGATGGCATATTTGCCTGTAATTTTTATACATACCTTCCTGTGAGGAGTACTTTAAACCATCTCTAGATTACTTATAATACCCAGTTTGGTTTAAATAGTATGTAATTCTATGTAAATAACATCAAGCTGCTGTACTTCAATACCGACACATTTTCCTTTTCCTGAATATTTTCCATCCAACGTAGATTGAGTCAGTGTTGTGAAACCCAGAGATACTGAAAGCCAATTGTACTCTTGAGAATTTCACACTGTGTTTACACTTTGTTGATAACCTCCTCCATTGTTTTCTACAATGACCATCCGATTATACATCCTCACCGATGCATAAGGCTTTCAATTTCTCTACATTTAACACCGCTTCTTATTTTCTACTTTTTGACAGAGATCATCCTAATGATGATAATGAGTTATCTCATATCATATCAAAATGTATAACATATACTCTCAAATATAATCTATATGTATCTTATGATCAGTGATGTTAAGGTGTTTTTGGTGTTGTTGTTGTTGTTGTTGTTGTTGTTTTTCCCCACCATTGCTTGTTGATCCTTTGGATATTTTCTTTGAAGAACACTGCTTTAGTTAGGTTATGTTTTTGTTTTGTTTTGTTTTTACTGCTGTTGTTCAGTTGTTGGACTTACTAATCCTGATGTTTAACCCTTTTTCCAATAGATGACTTCAGAATGTGTTCTCCCATTCTTTAGGCTGCCTTTGTATTTTGTTGATTTCTTTCATGCACAGAAGGCTGTACGTGTGAAATCATCCTACTTGTCTATTTTTGCTTTTGTAACAGACCTTTTGGTGTCAAGTCCAAGGAATAACTGTGAAACCCAAAACTGAAACTTCCCCTCTTTGCTTTTTTCTTGGAATTCTATTATTTTGTGTGCTACACTTAGGCCTTCCTTGTAATTTGAGTTAATTTTTGTCGACGATGTAAGCTAAGGTCACAGGCTCATTCTTCCCATGTGGCTGTCTAGTTCTGCCAATATTATCTGTGCCTTTCCAGCTGTGTAGACCTTGTCAGAAATGATTTCTGAGTTCAGTGTTCCACTGGAACCTATGTCTTACATTCATCCTTTGTATTCCAGAAGTTTCATTGTCTGCTTCCAAAAGAGCCACATTTAGGGTTGGGAGACATATTTGATATGAAATCTGACCTTCTGTTTTCTGAGGTTCATGGTTGGTCATTTGGTTGAGGCAATGTATATGCAAAGACAAATTTGAGCTCTTGAATATAATTATCTCATCCTGTAATTTAAGATAAATGATGTATTTCTCATAACACCAGGGAGACTATAGACCAACTAAAGTTATCCTTTCAATAGTAATACACTGTTTGTGGAGTTTCTCAAGCACGTTTAATGCATACTTTGCTTCCTAATGTGTTTCTTTAAATTCAATAAAAACATAAAAGTTTGTTCTAATACCATCCCAGAGTTCTGAAAGGTAGGTTTATACCCTTGGCTTTCTATTATGAATTAAGATTTAGGAATAAACTCTGGCAGAATTTTTTTTAAGTTTGTAATTCCCTTGAACTTGTTTTGAACTTGATCTAAACAGAAACAAACATAGGATAAACTTGTGAAATTAACGATATTTGCAAAATATTATTCTGCATGTTTGCATGTTATAGAATTTACTGATAAACATCAAAATCAGGTAGTTTGATACTATTGAAAATTTTTCAAACACATAATAAATGGCAAAGTAACCAGATTCGGTGGTGAGGGCAGAAACAATACCAAATGTGTTTTTTTCCCACAGACCAGCAAGCTTCTAGCATCAAAGCCACACACATTCATTTCACCTCAGACTTGTCACAGTCTGAATGGTATGATTTTATTTTGTGAGACTAGTAACAAGAGTTGCATACTTAATAAAACAACAAAAAAGTTTTAGGACTTTTAAAAAGTTTCTACTAAAATATGACTCAACTGTTTGTACTGGCTGTATTATCATGGCTTTTGATCAGCAGCAAGCATATGATTTACAAAGTAAAAAGATAACACAAAATGCTGACCTGAAGTGGGAGCTTGCTGTGTTCTGAACATTGGAGTTATGTACACTGTTCTTAATGAATGTTTCTAGAAAACACCAGTCACCGAAGTTCTTCAGTATTCAAAGATGAAGTGCATTATGACAAAAAAAATAAGGAAATATATAATTATACTTAAGTGTAATTATCAAGTGGCCAGTCTGTTCTTAGGAAAGCAAGATTAATGCCAGTTAGATGTATAATGGTTTTTTATACCTGGTTGGAATTCAGAACACTAGAACCAGTAACTACTGGTATTATATAAGCTAGCAAGACATGCATGTTACCCTTTTTTCTATCTGGTATCTTGTTAAAACCAATACTTAAGTCAATAGCATCAGCTCTGTGTCCTCTGAGAACTACTATTTGAGCTAAGACCACAATATGTAGAAACACAATAACATAAACGTAGATGGCAAATACAATTTTATGAGCATTTAATATGTGCCAAACACTGTACACAGAGTTTTATATAGATTCCTGTGTTTTGTTTTTTAACGTAGAGTCAATTCTTCAATAATACTTTATGAGCAACCCTATTTTCTAACTTGAAGAAGTTGAGAGATGATATACCTTATCCATAGTCTGTGGCTGTTAAGTAGCCAGTGATATTCAAAGGAATGTAATGAAAACATAGATGTTAAGTATAGACACATTTTCTTTTTTGGTGCTAGGATTGAAGTTAGAGTCTTGTTCATATAGTCCAGTGTTCTACCACACACCTCTGTTTCTTGCCTGAGACATATTTCCACATGTAGGTATTGAATATATTTGTGTTTTTAATGAAGATTTTTAGTGAAGCAGAGCAGTCATTATTTTATTCAGCAGTGATCATATGGCTATTAGAATATAAAAAGAGTTGCCATTTTCCTCCCATACTTTTATGAAATTGACTTCTTACATAAAAGCAATTGATCTTGAAACACTCTGGCTGAAAATATCTACAAAATGTAGCATTTGGAAAAGAAAGAATCCTTGAAAACAAATGTGGTATTAATGTAAATACCATAGATAATTTAGGATGTGCTGAGTCTTTCATGAACTACTGTCCATGTTTGACTTTTACTAAGACTGACCGTTCATCTTTTTAGAAGCATAAATGTGCAGTTTCTAAAGTAAATTTTGTTTTTGAATGAATGTCATCTTTAGGATTTTCTAAAGTATGCCTGTGTGTTTAATGACTATGCTGGACTATGTGCAGTTCTAATTATAAAACTAAAGGAATTCTAAGTAATATCAGTGTAGTAAGTGGGCGATAATCAGAGTATCCTAAGTCTACTTAGCTACTCCTAATGCATTTTGAACACATTTTTTTCAGCTATGTGAGTGACTATGCCCATGTAGTAAACAAAAGAGAGTCTACAGAATAAGCATAATGTCTTTCCTGATTTAATTTTCAGATACGTCTCCAGTATCTGGAGTAGTATTGGCCGAAGTAGCTCCAACACGGACCTCTGCACATGCCTGGAATTGATTGACACGGTTAAAGGATTTCAGATTGCTTCGTGCCTCTTGGGAAGTTCCGAAAACCACCCTTTCCAACTCTGGAATTCTGCTCAACTGAGACTCGCTTGAATGTTTACACTATCTGCTTGCTGTTCTACTCGCCACTAAACAGTGTTCAGATCCTGATCAGGAACTGAGTGTGTTCCACAAGCCACCATGGCCAGATTGAGCATTGGGATAGCAGCTTGCCGAATGGTGCTGGGCTTGCTGATGACTTCATTAACTGAGTCTTCCATACTGAATAGTGAGTGTCCCCAGCTTTGCGTGTGTGAAATTCGCCCTTGGTTTACCCCACAGTCCACATACAGAGAAGCCACCACTGTTGATTGTAATGACCTCCGTCTAACAAGGATCCCTGACAACCTTTCTAGTGACACACAAGTGCTTCTCCTACAGAGCAATAACATCGCCAAGACCGTAGATGAGCTTCAGCAGCTCTTCAACTTGACTGAGCTTGATTTCTCCCAGAACAACTTCACAAACATCAAAGAGGTAGGGCTGGCTAACTTGACCCAGCTCACAACCCTGCATCTAGAGGAAAATCAGATCTCGGAGATGACAGATTACTGTCTGCAAGACCTCAGCAACCTTCAAGAACTCTACATCAACCATAACCAGATCAGTACCATCTCAGCTAATGCTTTTTCTGGCTTAAAAAATCTCTTAAGGCTGCACCTGAATTCCAATAAATTGAAAGTGATTGACAGCCGTTGGTTTGATTCTACACCCAACCTGGAAATTCTCATGATTGGGGAAAACCCTGTGATTGGAATCCTGGACATGAACTTCAGACCTCTCTCCAACTTGAGAAGCCTAGTTTTGGCAGGAATGTACCTCACTGATGTTCCCGGAAACGCCTTGGTAGGCTTGGACAGCCTCGAGAGCCTGTCTTTTTATGACAACAAACTGATCAAAGTCCCTCAACTTGCTCTGCAGAAAGTTCCAAATTTGAAATTCTTAGACCTCAATAAAAATCCCATTCACAAAATCCAAGAAGGGGACTTTAAAAATATGCTTCGGTTGAAAGAACTGGGAATCAACAACATGGGAGAGCTGGTTTCGGTGGACCGCTATGCCCTGGATAACTTGCCTGAACTGACAAAGCTTGAAGCCACCAACAACCCCAAACTGTCATACATCCACCGTTTGGCTTTCCGAAGCGTCCCAGCTCTAGAAAGCCTGATGTTGAACAACAATGCCCTGAATGCCGTTTACCAAAAGACTGTAGAGTCTCTTCCCAATCTACGTGAGATCAGCATCCACAGCAATCCCCTGAGGTGTGACTGTGTCATCCACTGGATTAACTCCAACAAAACCAACATCCGCTTCATGGAGCCCCTCTCCATGTTCTGTGCCATGCCGCCTGAATACAGAGGGCAGCAGGTGAAGGAGGTGTTAATCCAGGACTCCAGTGAACAGTGCCTCCCAATGATATCACACGACACATTCCCAAATCATTTAAACATGGACATCGGCACCACAGTTTTCCTAGACTGTCGGGCCATGGCTGAGCCAGAACCAGAAATTTACTGGGTCACTCCCATTGGAAATAAGATAACCGTGGAAACTCTTTCAGATAAGTACAAGCTGAGTAATGAGGGCACCTTGGAAATAGCAAATATACAGATTGAGGACTCGGGAAGGTACACATGTGTTGCCCAGAATGTCCAAGGTGCTGACACTAGAGTGGCAGCAATCAAGGTTAATGGAACCCTTCTAGATGGTGCCCAGGTGCTGAAAATATATGTCAAACAGACAGAGTCTCATTCGATTTTAGTGTCCTGGAAAGTTAATTCCAACGTCATGACATCAAACTTAAAGTGGTCATCTGCCACTATGAAGATTGACAACCCCCACATCACATACACAGCCAGGGTTCCAGTGGATGTCCATGAGTATAACCTAACACATCTTCAGCCTTCTACAGATTACGAAGTGTGTCTCACGGTGTCCAACATCCACCAGCAGACTCAAAAGTCGTGTGTCAATGTCACAACCAAAAACGCTGCCTTCACCCTGGACATCTCCGACCACGAAACCAGCACAGCCCTTGCTGCGGTGATGGGGTCGATGTTTGCTGTCATCAGTCTTGCGTCCATTGCTGTGTACATTGCCAAAAGGTTTAAGAGGAAAAATTACCACCACTCACTAAAAAAGTATATGCAAAAAACCTCTTCCATCCCACTGAACGAGCTGTATCCCCCACTCATTAACCTCTGGGAAGGAGACAGTGAGAAGGATAAAGACGGCTCAGCAGACACCAAGCCAACCCAGGTCGACACATCCAGAAGCTATTACATGTGGTAACTCAGTGGGTATTTTGCTTCTGGTAGTAAGGAGCACAAAGACATTTTTGCTTTATTCTGCAAAAATAACAAGGTGAAGAAGACTTTTGTACTTTTGACTTTGCTAGTTTGTGGCAGAGTGGAGAGGATGGGTGGATATTTCAAAGTTTTTTAGTATAGCGTATCGCAAGGGTTTCACACGGCTGGTAGTGGCTCTCAGCTGCCAGTTTGTGTTTGGTTTTTATCCTTATCATTATTATGATTATTATATTATTATATTATTATTATTTTATTTTAGTTGACGTGCTAAACTCAATAATGCTGTCTTAACTACAGTGCTCAATAAAATGATTACTGACAGGTGGGGGTTCCTCTGTGCTTGACCCCTTCTTCTGAAGCCATCACTACAAAGAACCATGTCCTCTCAAAAGCTAACATATGGTTTGGAAGCAGCATTAAATCCTTCGTAGCAATCTGGTCTACAGACTTTGAACTCAAGCTAAGACGAAACTTGCTACTTTGTTGAATGATGTTAGTTGGCTGTACTGTAACGTTGTATCAACTGAACTGAATGTTTGCCTTTCAGCAACCTCTTTTTCTTTCCTTCCTCTTTCTTTTGTAATAGTTGAAGAGGCTTAGAACAAGCTAACAGGCAATAGAAATATGTATATCAGATTTTCTAATGTAATGAACTACATGTTAATTGTTACTATATTCTTTTTATCTTTAGTAGACACTTTTGAAAAAAAGAAAAGATAATTTTGTTGTGTTTAACTCACCAACTTGGTGTATAATGAAGACAGAAGTACAATAAATTAGTTTGTTCTGATTTTTTAGAACGCTTGCAATAATGTATCATTTATAGTTCTTGCTAGTTGCAGAGGCACTATCGTTCACACCAATGGAGTGGACAACCAAAGTATGTATGTGCATGCTCTAAAATCTTTTGAGTTCTTTTTGTAAAGAAAGAAGTATCCATTTTAACTAAGACACCTGGACCATTGAGATGGCTTGGTAAGTAGATGCCTGCTACCAAGCCTGATCTGCATTCCATCCCCAGGCTCCACATAGTGAAAGGGAAGAACTGACTCTAAGTTGTCCTTTCACCTCAATACATTCACGGACACACACATGTACCCACACTCATGTGTATGTAAAATAAACAAATGCATTGGAAGGAACAAATTAATGCATACATTTTAATGAGAAGGATTTCCATATTTTCAATACCACTGAATAGAACCTGATGGAGGAGGTGTTCCTATAAAGAAAAGAAATGCATACTATACTATAACCCTGGCATAGTCACACATTGGATGCATCATTCTCTTTCTTTCATTTATTTTACAGTATGCACATTCTTCATCAAAGTTCAAAAAAACAGAGCTAAAGAATGTTTCAAAACTTACTATAGTATCCCTTTTAACAGCTATCTATGTGCTTATAGGGTGTATACTGCCATGGAGATGTCTGCTGAAATAGACAATTGACAGAAGGCAGAGTGATTTCTCAAGGCTGGCATTTGTCATCCAAATAATTACACACAGTCTATCTCAATTAACTATTTCAAGATTACACAGGAACTATGTCTGTGAAGTTCAGGGCGGGAGGAGTTAGTTTGACAGAGTTCTGTAAACATTAGAGGGAGCAGACTGAGAAGTACAGGTAGATGGCAAAAGGCCCATCTGAAAATCCTCATTGAAAAAGGAAAGAAAGAAAGAAAGAAAGAAAGAAAGAAAGAAAGAAAGAAAGAAAGGAAGGAAGGAAGGAAGGAAGGAAGGAAGGAAGGAAGAAAGAAAAAGAAAGAAAGGAAGGAAGGAAGGAAGAAAGAAAGAAAGAAAGAAAGAAAGAAAGAAAGGAAGGAAGGAAGGAAGGAAGGAAGAAAGGAAGGAAGGAAAGGAAAGCTGTTCCAGATGGCAGCTGCCACTGTGGGATAATGGGATTGTAGAAAGGGACTACGAGGAAACAGGCACCAACTGAGAAGAAAGCAGGATAAGGGAACAGACAGAAAGTCCAGATAAGGCAGGCAGGGCAAGAACTTTCATTGTCAAATGCTTTGCTGTGTGAATCACCCTTCAGGAGACCAGCCTTTCCATCTCCAGTCCAAAGGGGAGTGGAGAGAGAATTCCAGATTCTGCAAGCAAACTGCAACCAAAATGTAGCCAGTACCAGAATGAGAAGCATTGCTCAGAGACTTCATTTGCTGATGAGAAAAGCACAGGGCATGGTGAGGGTGTGTGATTCTCAGGCAGTCTCCTCTGCCCTCCATCAATTCTCTAGGCCCAGTGGTCTTCTTACCGCTCTTGTCTTGTGTGCCCCTGCTTCAAACATGCAGGGTATCCTCAAATTCCCATCAACTTGGATTAAGGTTTAGAAGAAATGCAGGCCAGAGGAATAGCAAAGTATCTTGCATTGTTTTACTGCCAAGTATACATGGGACAGAATTAAAGGTGCTCCCTCTGCAGCCACGGGCATTCTTGTCTTCAAACATCTGCTAAGAAGCAGATCACCTACCTATAAATTTGGAAGCCACAAGGCAGGTCAGCACCAAAGCAGAAGACCTACAGCCGCCTGTTATTACAAGAAGGCATCATTTACCCATAAAGCCACGCTTTGAGCTGGCACAGAACATGTGCTCGAAAAGATGGCTCAGCCATTCCTCCATTCTGAACACAGAATAGGCACAAGGGAACCCAAATGTTCATTTGAAGAATATCATTTCCCAGACCAGTTTAGAGTAATTATTTCTTGTACTGAAAAATTACTGAAACTTATTTTACCCCATCCATGTTACTGGGTTGGATTTTTCTTGATGGAAAGCAAGATGGCAGAGTTCTCTTTTCTTAGCCAAATACTTACTTATCTTTACCTCGTTTGTTAAGTTAGGCAGCCAGTGAAATTAGACATTAAGCTAGATCCTCGTGGACAGGGGAGGCCCTCCCGGCTTTACCCATGAAGTGGCTGCTGCTGTAGGTCTTATTCTAGTCTCACATTTTCCCTTTTGCTTCCTGTTGTCCTCTGACCTGATTCTACGGGGTTATTTTTGGAGCAGTATCTTATAATGAACATTCCCTAATTTGCTCATTTAATTAATGACAAAGCAAACTGGAGCCATGAATATAAAAAGAGGCATTGTGTTTGACATCACTGTTTCTAATTTGTCTTTGCATAGCACAAAGGAATCAATGACCAGTCCTTGGCAAACAAGACTCAAGTCCATTTTTCTCACAGTTGGTTTCCAAAGGCATCACCGTTTTGGTGTTTGCTTTCTATCTTAGCATCGTTTTCCCAAGCATTTTCCTTTCTTCCTTACTGTTCTCACTACTGGGGAATAAAGCCCTTTGTGTTTCTGACACTGTTGGAAGAACCACACTTTCTGCCTTTTTGTTCACTGAGAAGGGAATTTAACTTCTGATACAGTCAAGGTACAACTGAAAAATGCTTTCTCACCTCATTTCTATCTCAACCTGTTTGCAAATTGACCTTTTCAAAATTCAAAAGGGATTAGCAGGGAGAAAAGTCTCTCTGTCTCTCTCTGTCTCTCTGTCTCTCTCTGTCTCTCTGTCTCTCTCTGTCTCTCTGTCTCTCTCTGTGTGTCTCTCTGTCTCTGTCTCTGTCTCTGTCTCTCTCTCTCTCTCTCTCTCTCTCTCTGTGTGTGCATGTGCATGTGTGCATGCACACTCACTCGTGTGTGCACTGTTGCCTGTGACAGCCAGAAGGGGACATGTGATTCCTCAGAGCTGAAATTAAACGCGGTTATTTACCCCGCCCCCATGGCGATAATGAGAATTGAAAGTCCTCTGCAAGAGCAGTGTGACTTGTCAGTGCTGAGCCATCTCTCCAACCCCCCCACCCAGAAGGTTCTTCTGTATGCAAGTTTTAGTATCACCATTCAGAGATCTCAAATGATCTTTAACCTGGAAACAGTAGGTAGTTTGAAAACTTTAATGTGTGCATGTGATTCCCTTACAACTGGCAAGTGTCTCCAACACACACATACACACACACACACACACACACACACACACACACACACACACACACACACCAGCTCGTCTTCATACTGGAAGTCAAGGTGTTAAGAAATAAGGAGATGAAAGGGGAACTAATGATGGTTTTATCCTTGTGGTTTCAGCACAGCTTCGTCAATCTAAGTGAGTCTCTGGTCTCATAGAACATTTCAGACTTGGCATTATTCATATAAAGTATACCGCAAGTGTCAGTGTATCTCAGGGACCTTCCTGAACCATGGATTCTGAGAACAGCCTCCTGAAAACAACCAGGTGAATAAAACATTATTCTTTCCAATTTACAGTCCGTGGCAAGACTTCTCTAGGTAAGCATCAGATAGACAGAAGCTGACCACGTCAGGGCTCATTTGCAGTTTTCTCTCTCTGATCAGCACCCTTCTAGGGTGGAAAGAAGAGCATCTATTGACTGGCAGATAAAATGTGGAGAAAGACAGAGTCAGTGCACAAGAGGAGCTGATCTGATTACACTGATAGAGTTCTATCCTAGGCCCTGATAGAATGATCAAAGTCCTTATAAGCTGACATCTTAAAAGGTGGCATTTGAATGCATGAGTGCATATTAGTACATCTCACTAATAGACAAAAAGACATAATGAGCTCAGGGAAACTGAAGACCCTGCCATGGTGGACAGGATGTATAATTTATAGCAACAACTTAGGAAAGAAAACAGAATGCTTTGTTTTTTTATTTGGCCATCTGCAAGGCACTACACTAGATCGTTTACTTAAATTCAACATCCCCTAACATAAGCATTTGTGAATGCACCTCAGAGAGTGGAACAACTACCTTGAAACTAAAGAGCTTGTAAGGAACAGAACTGGAAACTTAAACTGCGTGACTAAAGTGTGTAGTTTTCAGCTACACAATAGCCTATGTGTTAATTCAAGCATTTGTGGTACTTGAAGCAGGAAAAGTGGCACTGAAGACAGCAAGACACCAGGGAGGCAGGTCTAGGCCCTAATTTAGGAACCCAACCTGAGATGGAGACTTGACCTTCCAAATCCTTTTATGCTACATCTTCAGCAAACCTTGGATCAGAACTACAGGTTCAATGTCCCTTGTCTGACATGATTAGCACCAGATCACTAGAAGTGGTTCGAGTTTCAGTTTTTTATTTTTCACAATGATGATTGGCATAGACTACTGGATGATCATCCATAGCACCAAATGCACCAGTTAAAAGAGTTTGAGCATTCTTTCAGTACTCAAAGCACTTTCTAACTTTGACAGAAAATGCTCAGTTTTGTTCTGCATTTTGGATGAGTAGGATCAATGTGGAATTTTTAAGCGTTTCATATATACTGAACACCTGAAGAATCTTTCAAGTACATGAGTGCATGTACATTGGTTTATGCAAATACGGTGCCATTTTATAGGACAGGCAAATACCAACGGAGGTTGGTATCTGCTGAGTCCCAGAAACAATTCCCTGAGGACACCAGGGATGACTGTAAGTCAAAGCAAGCCACTATGAAAAGATCAAGGGACATGCAAAGATTTAAGACACTACCTCCATAAGAAGTGGGAGAAAGTGAAGCTGTAGGGTTGGAAGGAAGTAATAAAAAGAAGAGCAAAATGAGTGGGCATGGAAAGAAAAGAAAATTCCATAGAGTGATCACCTGACCTTTGGTGTCATGTAGAATCTTCCAATAGTCATAAAAAAAAATACTCATAACTACTTTTCATATGAAGAAACCCACTCAGCTCAACCTTCATAAGTGATAAAGCAAAATTCCCACCTTGGCTGTGAGCATCAAGGGTCCACACCTGCCTACTTTCTAGCTAAAAGGCACCAGAGTCTGAG